CCAAGCTATATTTTATTCTGGAATATTTAGCAGAGTAGATACCTGAGACAAAATTGGGTTAAATAGAATAACTGATTGTGAAGAGGGACTTTAAATATGTAGAATTTTATGTTTAATAGAATTGTTAAAATCAGGTGAGCAGGATATCTTTATGAGCCATCTGCCAAGACTAGAAATAGTTTTGATACCACTTATTCCCTTAAACAAGTATTGTGCCCTGTAATATGATGAGACCAAACAAAAATAAAATTTCAAGAGCTGAAAGGTATCTTAAGTATTCTCTACTCTGCCGTTGGTTGTCCAGATGCCTTTTTATCCATTGCACTCAGAGCTTTTTATAATAACCTAAACAGTTGGTGGAATGTGAATCTAATCCACTTAAAACTTATTTACCCTAATTTTGTACTGACCTTATGATAGTTGCCACAAATGTCAGAGAACTAAAAAAGTATTGGGCATTAATTTCACATAATATATAAGGTAGTGGTTGTCACACTTAGTGGTCAGTAATCCTTACTTGGGAAGCTTGCATTTTTTTTTTTTTTAAATGTTAATGTAGGCTTTCTTCCTGAGATTTTGCATCAGTCTCTTTTGCAACCTAAGTAGGGCCCAGTAAAACCGTGTTTTCAGTGACCTGGGCTATTATTGCTTTAAAAAAAAAAAAAAGCAACCTTTATTCCAAGGAATAAAGGGATCTGCTTCCCTTTTGCATTGATAAAAGGGCAGAGAAAAGATGTGTAATGATTATTCTTTTGTCATTAAGACCTAAGGGTTCTTATGATAGTCATTGAATCCATATAGCATATTTTCAGTCAAGATGAAACAAGTTGAGAATATTTGGGCAAGGTGTCAGTTTATCATTAACCGGTAACACTAATTTTGAGAGAGATACTACAGTAACAGTAGTTACCATTGCATTAGTGCTGACTTATAGATGAGGTACTATTCTCTAGCAGCGAATTAAGTAAATTTTTGTAGACATACTGTATGCTACAGTATGTCTGGTGGAGATTTTTACTACATAGTTGTATAGTTACAGAATAACAGGCAAGAATATGGTTTTAACTGAAAACAACAAAAAACAACCCTAAAGTTTTAAAGGCGTTATGTTCTTCTAAGAGAAATTTCACATTTGATGGTTTATTGAAGGTCTTTGATTATGTCAGTATAAAGCAAATTATAAAAATATGAATGATAATTGAGGTTAAAATTTAGCCAGTTGAAAAGACAGTTTTTAGCAATTAATTACACTTTAGAGGGCTGAAGGACAGGAAGAAAACCATAAAAATCATGATTTAAAAAAATATTGCAAATTTGTAGATACCATGCTAATTTTACAAAGAAGGATATAGAGACTATTTTAAGAAAAATTATTTCATTAAAGTTTTTGGGAGTGGGTGTTGCAGATGAGAACTCTTGAGGTTCTGATTGAAATATAGGAATGTGATGTGATATAAAAACATAAATGATGGAATTATGTTGTTATGAAAAGTCACTAAAAATATATGACAACCAAAAAAGAAAGAACATTGGATGCAAGGCAGGACAATCCAGAATACAAACGCTTCACGAAATAGTAATGATTTCCAGATCCCCTTTAAGCAAGATAGTGCAAAAGCTGCAAATGCAACTTAGTTTGCTGTGTGGAACCTTAACTGAATACACACACATGCGACATAATGTCACGTTCCTATTTTTTGTGTCTCTTAATGTGATATAAAAAGAATTTTTATAAAGGACCAGACACAAAGAATAGGAATATGACAATGTAAAGTTACTACTAACTCATAAAGTAGCTCTTAAAACAAATAGTTTTTCAATAACTTGATGTTTTAACCCAGAACAAAGTTTTTGTGGGTAATACTATTAGTGATTTTTATCACTATGGTGATAACATGCTAATAAAGACTTCTGTATAATGTATTTAAAAACTTAAGATACAGAAAAGCTTCAGTAAGCAAACACCTTAGAAAATAACATCAGATGTTTGCTAAGTTTAGATTGTAGATGTATAGATGTATAGGTGTACTTCATCTTTACACAGTAAGTACCTAGAAACTAAATTATTTTAAGTTGTCAGCAGTTTAAATAAAAACTGGTGACTTTCATTTAATTGGTGAACACTAGCTTATCCTGATCTGTAAATTTGATTCTAATATTATATTGGGTTTTTTCAAGTGAAGCCTGGACATGCATATAAAATATGAGCATGCATATATGTACAAAAGCCCATAAGAGGAATTTGGCTTTCTTTTATAAACATACCCAAACTCATTCTGCCTGTAAAATGTTCTTGCTAAGTTTGCATCACTGACTTGCAAATTTATAGTTTCGTGTTTAAGAGCTGCTGCTAGGATTGTGTATGTAGAGTTTTGTCAACGCCTTCTCCCCTCTCAGTAAATCAGTAAAAAAAAAAAAATTTTGACCATTTCTACTAAATGTCCATAAAAAACAAAATAGTATATTCAGCTTACACAGAAGTAAAATTAAGTTAACCACTCAGAAGATTTTCTGTTTTGTAAAAATGTAGCTTATATTTCATAGTGTAATAAAGTCTGGTGTAAGACGTAAATTTTCAATTGGTTGCATATTCCACATTTATTTACTTTTTAGTATCAACTATTTGAGATGGTGGTGAGAGGTTGAGGTTAACAAGAATTAAAAATTTCAATAGAAATTTGTTGGCTTGCTTTGATGAATGTTAAAGTAACATGGAAGAACACTTCAACATAATGAAACTGCATAATGCTATATCTTAATTATCTTGGTGCTGATGCAGAAGCAACTCCATCTGAAATTATAGTGGTCCTTCCAGTCAGACTCAAATTCAGATCTTGAAACTTAAATGTCCATAGAATTGACTTACATCACTATTAAATATTTAAAATACAAGTGTGTGTGTGTGTATGCAGTTAAGGTTCAGCACAGCGAACTAAGCTGCATTTGCACTGTCTTGGTTAAAGGGGATCTGGAAATCATTACTATTTGTGAAGAGTTTGTATTCTGGATTGCCCTGTCTTATATCCAATGTTCTTTCTTTTTTGGTTGACTTACATATTTAGTGACTTTTCATAACAAAATAATTCCATCACTTATGAAGTAAATGACCCATCTCCAATGTTTTCATTTAACTGGTGCTCTGTAAAAGGACCACCTCTTAAAGAGGCAACCTGTCTTCCCTTGGGAAATGCTCTCCTTGATAAGCACCTGCTTGTTTCTGTCCTAGAAAACTACCATGGTGATTCATCTAAAATGGAAACACCCCTTCCCCCATCTGAAGCCTTTCACTAGTTCCCTGTTTCTTTCATAGGTTCCCAGTTTTTTATCCACCAAATACACACTCACCCAAATTAACATGCAATACAGAGTGGCTTCCTACATTCCATCTGCTATTCCTATCTCAACTTAAGAGTGTTGTTAGCCTGCTTCAAACCATGTAACTTCACATCTCTGAATTCACCCAAACTACTGCTCTGCCAGGAATACCCTCCCTCTGTCACCTTCACTTAACATCTTTATTTACCACAAGGCCTTACAGAGGCATTTCCTTTTCCAAGAGGCCTACTACTCCCATCTTTATTAAGACCATTGGTGTACTGAACCCTAATTATCTGTAAGGCTTTTCTGGGTCAACATCATTGAGTTGTATTTCTAGAGCAAAATACAGGGTTCCTGGATGGTCAGTTGGAGATGGGTGGGCAGAAGTATGGCACGTGATTGCTTGGTTAATAGAGTGACAGCTATTTAAAGGCTGATAAATTCACAACTTCAGGAAGTAACTGCTGGAGAAGTGTCGGTATGAATGTGACACATCAGTGTGTGTCTTCACCCCTTTTCCTCCTGAGACCTAGTGGTAGCGTATTCTGTTAAATACAGGCATGTTAGCGTTACCTAGTAACCAGGTTTTTAAAATTCTTTGACTTTACAGACTTAAGTTGGCAAACAGGACATAAAACTAATAAGGTATATTTAGAATATGGGTTATCAGTGAGATCATGGTATCAAGACCTGTCATTTCTCTCAGTCCTGGTGTTGATAATTGAAACTTTCTATAAGAAAGTTCTTACCTCTTAAACTGGGATTCAAAGCTAAAATGTCAAATATATGAAATACCTGTCCATTTTCTTGGTCTAATATTTCAGTTTTTAAAGATCTTGTGCCAAGACACTGAGTCATTAAAGATAAGCCATTTCTCCTCAGCTGTGTCTATCAAGCAGCCCTGTCAGTGCTGTTACTGGAGAGTAACTTACTAGTAATTGGACTACAGCAAGAGCTTGATTTGTACTACAAAGGTAGAAATCGTTATCTTCTTTCATGCCTGATGACCACTTCCTAAGAACAGATTGACGAGGGTGAGAAGACCTGATTTTCAAAATGTCAGTGAAAGTCTCCTCACAAGTTTGATTTATCATGGACCATTTTCCATCTTTATCCTAATGCTCTTTTCTTGGAAGTGACTATTAACATAAAGCAGTCAACTATTAGTCATGTACTCTTGATAGAGAACTTTCCAGGTACTAGCTCCTGGAAGTTTATTGTTTACACGGGTAGATTCCATTCTGTTTTCCTTATTTTTATCTGGGAGCTCTGGGGACACATTTGAAGACTGGAAATAGTGATATAGTTTAAGAACAATTATAGGATTCTGTACAGATAACTAAGAACAACTTAATTATTTTAGTGACTTAGGAACTCAAGTGTACAACTGAGATCTCTGACAAGTTGTCAATAACTTTTCATGTTTATTTTAAAACAGCCTGGGAAGGAAGTATTATAAGCAGGCCTTACTGGCAAAGCAAAGCAAGTAAGAACAGCAAGTAATGGGAGTATTACGACATTTTCAAATTTAAACTACTCATTCAGTGTATCTGTACATTCTGGGTAAAGTTCTGTAAGGCAGTTGAAAACTATCTCTTAAAAGGATCTTGAATAATATAGTCTAGATTGAGTATAAGATACCTTGTGGTCCCATCACATCAAAATACCTCACACTTTGGTTGTCTCTTAAGTTTCTAGCACCTGGTATATAAAGTGACTTCACACCATGCCCAAGATGCGGGCCACCCACCAGCTGCATGGCATGACAACTCTGCAGGCTGAACGGCAACCTTGGTAGTTGTAAGGCCATGGATAATAACCACCGAGGGGTTCACAGATCTTCTGGCAGTGGGTGTAGCTTCGCCTACATTCAATACAGCAAATTCCTTCGTGATCCAGTCTAGGGTCGAATGTCATGCCTTCCCCTTCCTGCTGCTGTGAAACAAGAGAATTGGTTTATGTTTTCTTCATAATGAAGTTTATAGCATGCACACAGTTTTTCAATAAGATCCTCAATATTGCACTGCTATATAAAGTCAGTCTAATTTTCTATAAGGCGTTTATGTTGCAGAATTACTTTTAATATTAAGTAACTTCCACCTACCTACTCTGATACTGGCAGAAAGGTGGGTTTTTTTTTAAATGTCACGCTGAGTTTCTCCATGCCTTTAGTGAACTGTCATTAACACTCAATATGACTCAACTTGTTCAAAATAGGCAAACAAAAAGGGAGCATGATTCAAAAGTAGCATTTCTGCCACCACTAATTTTAAGTCACTTGAAGGCTGGCATCTTTTTGTAGTAATGGCTTTCAGGGCTTTTGGGAGCATGTTTTGAAACTCATTGACCTAGGCTAGCATAATGCTATTCCATTTGCACCACCTAAAAATACTGTTATTTAGCTTTTCCTGCCTTTTCAATGTGAGGGTCTTTAACCCTCAGGAAAGATAGCAAAATGTGTAAGAATTCAAGACCTTAAATCTTACTTTTCCTGCACCTATGTATCATAAATATACACAAAATAATAATTGATAGACTAAAAATCTGCATTTTCACTGTGGAAAAGAATCCAGAACAGGAGGAACTTGCCCAATACGAAATTTAGGCATTGGGTTTTCCTTTTTGTGGGTTTCTTTCTAGGGGAATCTCCTTTAATGTATAGTCATTACATTGCCCAGGAGGCTTTGTCGACATAAATTCCTTATTCAGTTTTAAGAATCTTTCCTAAAGTTAATTGAACTTGGAAGCAAACATAGGTTATGCTTGAACAAAGGGAACATAAACAATCCTATGCCTTTTTGTATACAAAAAGTTCTCAGGAGGTGGGGACATATTTTTATTGTGAAACTTTATATTGGAATGTGGGAAAATTGTATATCAAGTATTTAGATTTAATAATTGCTTCTTTTTGTTGAGGTATTTTAATTCTGACGTCAGTTTAAAGAGAACTGGAGGCATTGTGACAGTTCATCTCTAAATAAATTTTTGACCTACCTCCACAATAACAGAATATCCTGTAAACCATACTACCGTTATCACCTAACAGAATTAATTCCTTAACACTATCTGATGTACTGTGCTCAGATTTTGTCATTAAAGTCTTACAGTTTTTTTTAACCAAATTCTTTACACTTTATTCCTTATCTGGGATAGCAGAAAGAAAGCCACCTGTTTTTGCTAACTTGGTTAAGTAAGCCTGTTTATTGGTTGAAGCATTTCATTATCTGAGGGTGAAGTTAAGGTTGTTAGGATTAAAAAGTTGGGAAGAAATCTCAGGTGGTAGGCCTGAAGTATTGCCTTAAAGGAATTTGTAAAGGACTGAGATCATAGAAGGTGTTGATGCTGAAAAGACAACAGATAATATAGGAACAAATGGATATAATTGGACTTAACTCAAAAAATGTGAATCACTAAAGTCTGGAAACAGTAAAGTCACATCCAGCCTTTCTTTGAAGAGGCTAATGCCCTTGTCCCTTGAACCAAATTCAACTAGTCCAGCTACTTTTTTTTTTGAGCTTTAGGGAATAACATGGTGTGGTGTCCTGAATCTTATGATAAGCCTTGGGCAATTTAAAAAATATTTTTCCCTTTAAATCTAAACTGTATTAGTCTAATGATAAACTAGAACTATATTTACAACTCATGAAAGTAGATTGTGTAGACAAAATACACGAATGACTTACCTGTGTATGAAAAAAATGTTCCCCCATAAACATCAATAAAGACAGGTGTAATAAAACACCCATGAGAAAAAGTTTCACATCCAAAAATCAGTAAAGATATTTTAAAGTTTGATAGTAAGTCATTACTACTTGAAGATGTGTTGCTGGTGTAATCCTTGGAAAACAGTTCGGTATTCTTCATTAAGATGTAAAATTTCCGTCTATTTGACCCAAGAGCCCTACGCATCAATATTTGTGCTAAAGACATACTCCCACTTCTGTACAAGAGGTTTAATAAGAGCATCAAACCTGATTACTTGAATACATTAGGCATTAACTATGCCAAACACTGCTAAACTTCACCTGCATTACTTCAGGTGGTTACCTCACTTGACACATTCCCATAACTCCATGAGGCATGTACAAGGCTGTAGAGAATAGTAAAAGTATTTGCAAAAACAAAAGGGAAATGATTTACAAGTTCATCAAAGCAAGACTAGCTAAATTTCTGTAAATCTATTCACAATGGAATTTGAGGTGGCCATTAAAATGAAAGGTAAGTTTATGTAGAAAATATAGATCTCCAAAATATGGTCTGGTAACTGGGAAGAAAGTGAAGTATAGAAGATTGTACTTGCTCTTGTGACAGTGTGTGTGTGTATGTGCACCTTATGCAGAGAAATTGAGCAGATGCTATAGTTAGATTGCACTGGGAAGGGTGTAAAGTGGAAGAGGAATTTTACACTGTTCAGCCATTCATAGTGTTTACAACTATATACATATATATATAACTATATACATTTTTTCAGTTAAAACATTTGTTACAAATAGTCTATTTTCACTCTGCAAAGTATAGTAATGCTAAATAGTATTTTAAGATTTAAGATGTTTTAGCCTATTGATGTCATCCTTGCAAACACCAATTCTCAATGTTTAGTCTAAATTGTATTTTTCCTGTATAAGTCTGTCTCCCTTCTGACTATGAGATACAGACACAAAGGTTTCTCTTGACAGTTTGCAGAGGTAGGTTCTCAACTAATACCTGCTGACTGGATGAGTAAAGTGGATGTAAAGGGGGGGGGGAAGAATAATTTTCCTTCTGTGGATTGCCTCCAAGGCACTCTTGGAAACATTTTAAAAATAAATCTCTAATATATATTTGTTTTAATGGATTTTCCTGTGGCAAAAAAAAAAAAAAATGCACAGAAAATACTTTTGAATAAGGGTTAAAGTCAGTTTTTTATATGACTGAAGCATTTCTTAAATACTTTAGCTGTCATTTATAAACCTTGCAACAAATCAATTCAAATGTGTTTTTAAAATAATTGAGTAAAAGTTTCAGTGGAATACTAAATGCTCATTTGAAGCCTCTGTTGGAAATACCACTACTTAAATGCCACACGACTGCATTATGAGCGCGTCATGAAAACACGTACGTGGTAAGGGTTGTCTGGGTTGAAGGGCTCTGAATCCTCTTGATCGTTGGGCCTGGTTTCATTACTTGGTCTTCCCGGGCCTGGGTTGCCCCTTGGTCCATTCTGTGGTCTTCTTGTGGTACTTGTAACAATTTTTCTTACCAATTCTCTTCTTTCTCTCTGAATGTCTGCCCCAAAAATTGTAAGTTAATTCCTTTATTTTAATATTACAGAAGTTCATCTGAAGCTGCTGTCTGAATTTTTACTGTTGATTTTTATAATAAAGTATGCTTCAGTCTTGGGTTAGTAGATAAACAGAAATTACTAGCATTTGGTTTTATAATAGTAATTAAAATAGACATTGCAAGGCAGTTTAATAAAAATCTGTTCTCAATTTCCTCCTCCTTTGCCAGCCTCTGCTACAGGGTCTGAAGAAGTAAAATATCACTCAATTCCCTAGCCTCTTGCCACTACAAGTGGGGCCAGAAGAGACTTCCAGGCTAGTGAGATACAAACACAATGTGCTAGCATAGCTTCTGGGAAAGCTTTTGCTTTTTGGTAAAAGGGGAGAGACTTGGATTCGACTGTCTTGCCTTCCTCTCCTTAATGGAGATGTGCTATCTGGTTCTGAGAACTTGTGATTAGAAGTGATAGGCATGAGAATAAGCTAGCACACTGCATGCTAGGTAGTAAGGTCACTGAGTAGATGATAATACCAGAAATCAGTCTCCAGAGTCCCAGCTGCATGATAAAACCAACTGTACTTTTTGAAACTACTGCTGATTAGGTATCTGTTGCTTGCAGCCCAGTGCATCCCCAATGGATTGATTATAAATGTACAAAGCCTTAGAGTTTTAAGATTTGTTACCTTGACTGATTTCTTTAGAAGTTCCTATGGGGTAGAAAAAGCAGAATTTTGGGGGGTAACTTTTTTAACTGAGGGAACATTGGTTAACAACACTATGATGTAGGGAAATAGGCTCACATCTTCAGATGTATGTTACTAAAGCAGGTATTTTATACACAGGGCCCAGAGAGACCATGTGACTTGACCAAGAGCACAGAACAGGTGGCAGAGGAGCTGAATATGAACTCCGGCAGAATTCCAGCCGAGTGTTCTAGTAAACCACACTGCTTCATGTCCTACAACCTGGCTTATGGCTGCTGAGGGCCAGGCAGATTATTGGGTGTTGGGAACAAGCTCTTTCCTAAAGTGTTAAGGTTCTCATCTATCAGTCCTCGACTCACCAATAGCGCTTTCCATCTCTAGCCTGACGCTGTCATCCCTGCTCCACTATTTTCCCTTAAGCACCTACATACCAGACAACTTTCTTATTTTGTGAATTTTTAAATACTAATTTTATATTGTGGTCATGTTGATTTACAACGCTAGGATTTATGAGTATAGGTACACGACTCTTCATAAGTATGTTACTACACCATGCCCATCACCAAGGCACTCATAAAGCTCCATCAGAGTCCTTTGGGCCCTTTTCCATCATTTTCCCCCAAGTTTCCCCCTCTGGTAACCTCAGTTCTGTAGACAGACTTGTAGGGTTTATTTTCAGTCTTCAAGTTCTAGGGTTGATTTACTGTTCTCCCTTCGAAGGGTCTGGCTTCCTATCCTCATCACCATTGCAAACCAGTGTCTAAAAATAAATAAATGGCATATTTTATTAAATGTTTGTTCAATGAACAAGTGTACTCCATGGGTAAGAGATACGTCCTCAAACAGAAAGTGACTGGGGAGGGCTTTATGTGGGGGCAGAGTCAGAGACTTGCCCTTGGCTGTGGACGATAACAAGATATTGGCGAAGGAGTTCCTGGTAATGGAAAGCAGGGAGACCCATTCCAGCTGGAAGCAGGTGGAGAACTCAAAGTCAGAACAAGACCAGTCCATGGAATTGGAGGCAGGGCTGGCAAAAGTGACAGTGCACACGCAGCACCACCCCACCCCAGAGAGTGCCCTGCTCTGCTCTCACCGCTTCTGGGAGCTGCGTGTGGTCTTGGGGATCCCCTTCAACCCACTAGAAAGTTCCTGCTAGTGGCTTACAAATTGCTTCCTATGTGCCTTGTCTGGGATAGAAAGTAATCATTTTATCCAAGCTTTGGAACAAAAACACCTTGTGAACTGTAGGAGTAAGTTAACCTTAGTAGGCTTAGAAGCCTGACTTTCTAAACCTGGTAAGACCCCCCCTTTTTTTTCTTTTAAATTGAAGTGAAATAGACACAATTTACAGTATTCTAACCATTTTGAGTGCTGTTAAGTGGTATTAAGTAATTTACAATCCAGTGCAAGAGTCACTCCCATCTACCTCTGGAACTTTATTTACAAAACGGAAACTACCCATTCAACAGTAACTGCCCATTCCTCTAAGTGTGGTGGTTTTAGTGCCAGTATTTTCTCTATTTCCATGCTCATGTTTTCTCTCAGTGTTCAATAAAATGTTTGAGAAAATACATCCTATCTCAGTTGTGCGAGGAGAAAGGCCTTTTACACCATTTGAGACAGAGTTACAAAGTAGTCCTTTGGGAGCAAGTGGGGTGACATAAGTGTGGGTGAAGAAGTAAGAGAGTGTACCCCTGGAGAGGGAGAATCTCAGGGGAAAGAGCCTGGCTCACCGAATACAGCTGCCCTTCCCCACGGGAAATAGCTCAAAGGTATGTACCAACCTAGCTCTGAATCCCAGGGGCACTTTGCTTATTTTCACCAGACTTGGAAGCTGCTGCTCAAGTCCTGAAGTTGAGGAATCTCAACCTACACCCATAAGTCTTAAGAATAAACATAATAAAATTTAGTGGTATGACAGCTCTTTGGCCCCTGATTCTATGCCTTAGGAACAAAAAAATGTAAAATTGGAAAGTGCAAACCACTGAGATTATGGGGCAGTGGGGAGAGAATAAAAAATAAAACTTCAGTAAATAAAAACTTCAGTAGTTCTAACTGCAACTGACCCAGTTCTAATCTGAGTCCTGTAAACCGGCAGCTCTGTCCTAACTTATAAGGTTCACTGCTATCATTTCCCTCCCTTTGAGCTCCTCTGCCAATTACTGCTGCACCTTGGCACGGCACTGTGACGTGCATCCTGTTTATCTTCCCTGTTTCCTGCCCAAGCCTGTGCAGGGCGTCCTAGGACACTCTCGGGAGAACAGGGAGAATTCCAAGCAGATTAATTTAAAATGTTACCGTTTGGATATGTTGGTTTAAGCCAAAAAATAGGGAGGTCGCCACAGAGTTCCAAGACTTTGGAGCTCAGGAAGCTGTTATCCTTCACAGGCTGGTCTACAGCTACCCAAATAAGAGAATTTTCTTCATATTTAACTGGCATGATCTTGCCTTCCTGTAAGAAAACAAAAGTGAAATTCACTGAGCAAAGAGGACAGTGGAAATTGCTGCACATTAAGATTCATGAGATAAAATACTTTGTTTCATTACTTTAAAAAAAAATGTTACAAAGAAGAACTGGGGTGTAGGCCAGAGGTATGGGTGAGGATTCACTAAAGACAGCAGGGAGCAGAAGAGGCAGATTTACTGAAACACACAACTGAGGGGAGCAGTGGGTCTTGGGGATCCCCTTCAAGTTCACAAGGTGTTTTTGTTCCAAAAAGGAGAGATCAGCTGGGCCAGGTGGGTCAACTCCCTGGCTGGGGATCAAACTCAGGCTGCAGCAGTAACAGCACTGAGAAATTAACCCTTAGGCTACCACGGAGGCCCCATCTCACGACGGTTTGTGTGTGTGTGTGTGCCTGTACACACGTGTGTGCGAGCAGATACACTGGAAGGTTCTAATCTGTTCTCTTTGGAGTTGTATTCACAATATTAAACACCCTCACGTCGTCCTGTCTTTAGGTAGCTGGAATGTGTGAATCTGAGATTCCTGAGTGGAAGTGAAAATTACTTGATACCAACTTTGAGATTTAGGTTAATCTGATGTTTTTGATCAAAGATGATTTTGAGGAAAAGCGATTGAACGGACACTGGAATCTTATAAAGGGTAGAGGAAACTTTCATTTGAAGTGAAAATCCTTTGGGGTTTTGTTCTGCAGCTCCCAAGCAACAATGGAAAAACAAGTGATTGGTTCTTTAATGTCTTCAGTTCAAAGTATTATTTAACATAAACCATTTCTACATTTCCCAGCTATAACAAAACATATTTCAGATGTTCCTCACATCAGGCACACCACTGAGATTTCAAAGCTAAACCCTGGATTTGCTTCTATGGCAAGATGCTGAGAATGGTTTGATAACCCAGGAGACAAATTTATTTTGTTCCTTTCATGTGTTATGTGTTTGCAATAGGTTGGAGAAATTAAAACGTTTTCTTCTTATTTTTAGCTAAAAGCTGCACTTCATTTATGCTTTCTCCCTCAGGCATATGACTGCATTAAAACAACTTAAAGTTATTGGAGGAAGCTAACATTCAGGTAATCCAGTTATTTACCTTCAATGGATGCATGCAGGAAACGAATGCTCTTTGGGTATAGTAGCTTTCTAAAGTTACACAAAACTAATGAAAAATTTATGAGAGCAAGAAGTGGTGCATAAATCTACCCCATCACAATGTAAAATATGTGGGGGCAGGGGGGGGGGAGTCAGATGATGCATATACATGCAACCCACAAGTGAGCAATGTTAATAAAACGTGGCGTATATGCTCAGTGGCCACCCCAGTCTCCTTCCTCCCTCCTTTTCCTTGCAGCGCAGCCCTGCTTTTGTTTGATGATATAGTACGTCTGGTCCTAGGAAAGATGCTGGTTTTCTTGGCCTCTCCAGCAGTGAGGGGTGCCCAAGTGGCCGCCTCTAGCCAATGTGATCCAGGCTGAATTATGCTGGGGGATGAAGCCTTCAGCTTTTCTTACTTCAAGGGAAGCCTGTTGGTGCCACTCATCCTCTTTCTGACTTTCATCCTGGTATGCATGGCTGAAGTGTCGAACCGCTAGGAAAGACCCCCAAATCTGCGATGCTGACCATTGAGTCAAGGCCTGCGTCTACCTACCTCTGTGTTCTGTGCTGTGGTGGAAAACATCCCTGTTGGATTAAGTCTTAGAGTGGTTTCCTGCCACTGACAAACACGTTCTTAATTCACACATTTTGTCTGAAAGTGGTTTCATTCATCATGCACAGTACAAACAACTAAAACAGGAGAAAAATAATCCACTTCTCTGGGCTAAGAAAAGAATTAGATGCAGACAAATGTTTAAATACAAAACTCACCACAGTGAATATAAAAATGATTTTGAATTATTTGACAATGAAAAATTGAAGATAGTTGAAGTATTCAAGAACAAAAGACTTAAAATCATATGATGACATACACATTATAATCTACATTTTTAAAGAATTGAAGTGAAAATAAGAATGTATAACAGCATAATTTCAATTATGAAAAGAATGTCACCAGAACATGAAACAAATTTACCAAAACATTAACATTAGCTATCTGTGGATTACTTGTCTCTTATATTCCCAAATTTTCTACAAAACCAAGAAGAAAAACTTATTTGAGAAAATCCCAGGAAATGTACTGCCAACTTCTGGCTAGCTCTGGGTTAGCAACAGTTAAAGAGTTGGTCCTAGAAAACAGGAGAGAAGAACTGTCCACTTATGGGGGAAAATGTCAGCGATGTCTAAGAAACTAATGGTTTTTAACAGAAATAGAGTGATATAACTAAAAACAAATGGTAATGCAGTAAGCACAGATCAAGGGCGAGCATATAGGAGGCCTTGGTTTGTTTATATACTTGTGCCACGAGGTTCATACGGAGAACTCTGCCTTCGGATCTGAATAGCACAGTTTGGGAGCAACACACTGTCATGTGCTTTTCCAAGGAAGATATCTAGAACAAAAACTGGCCCAGGCCGAATGGATAGGAAAACTGTGAGTTGGAAGGAGAAGACACAGGATGTGACACCAGCTTTAAAAAATTCCCCAGTTTGGTAGGTGATTTAAGTGATGGACTAGCAGAGCCTAGCATGTCTTGTCCTCCACGGATAAAACAGACAAGAGAAACTGCATGTGAAGGAGAACTGGGGGCTCAATGATTGGCATAAGGAGGTGACACAGAGATCACTGGAGGGAATAGTAAGCCTGAGAAAGGGTCCTGCCAGGAATGATACTGGGCCACTGGTGTGGGCTCCCAGAGCTTCCTTCTCTCCAGTCCTAGCTCACCTTGCGGAAAGAACACTGCTGTTAGGTTGGCAGGGAGCAATAGTTCTAGTGGCTTAAAATGTACTCAAGCCTCACCTGTACTGAGTCCCAGAACTTTCCTCAGCTCCCAGCCCATTGCAGCTTAGTGAGTCCCACTTGCCAGAAAGAACTCTGCAGTGTGAGGATGGAGCTGACACCCCTGAGGCTGCTAGAGGCTAGCCTGGCAACTCGGAGAGTTCCAGTCGCTCCCCTTTCTGGGTAAGGTAGGTATCTGAAATCTGTCCCTTCCACTGGTGTCTGCCGATGGTGCAAGCCCACAGTTCCCTGGATACTTTTGTGCCTGAGCGTCAGTGGAAAGATAGTGCCAGAAAATTTGCTGAGGTCAGAATTAGGCTGTGAGTAAAGAGTCCCTGGCAGTTTGGGGCTTCTGGGAGTGGGCCAGTGGTGGAGTCAGCCTTGACCTGTCTTGAGCAGACAGTGATTGAAGACCTTTCCCTTGGTTCAAGCAGCTACAACACTAGGGAAGTTTATGCCTTTGTCAAACAGCTGCAGCTACTCCATATGGCTATCCTCTCTCCACCCCCACAACCCCTCTTGCCCCACCCAAACCCCATCTCCAGCCCTCACACTATAGGCTGAGTTCTTTGACTACCATCCTGTGCTGGCTCTTGAACTCTAGGCATCCTGGTTGGTGATAAGGTTTCAACCAGTAGAAAGCACAGAATTCAAGACCAATACCCTTGGCCAATACTCTGCAACCTGCAAATTCTAAAGCAAATCCACAGTATAATGGGAAAAAAGTTTCTAGCTTTAATCAATAGAAATAATCACAGGGCATCAAACAATGAAGAGACAGAGGAATTTGCACTGATTAATGGATCAAGATAAAACCTTGGAAAAAATTCCTAATACAACAGAATTAACCAAGCGGCTGAAGGAAGATTTCAGAGCAACAGTCTTAATGATTTTTACTGATGTTAGAAGAACCATGACTGAACAAAGGGAGAAATACAACAAAGTGAAAACATGGAAAAACTCCATACAGAAGAATGCAACATTTAAGCTTAAAAATACAAAAGAGGAGGCCCTCAGTCACACAACGGGTTAAAGCACAGCACTAAAGGCTAGCGGCAGTCACTTCAAGAGTTTGATCCACTGCCAGGGAGGTGACCCACATGGCACAGCAGACCTCTTCTGTCTTGCCCACTGCTCCTCTCAGCAGTGTACTTCATTGATCGGCCTGTTCTGCCCTCCATTCTGTCTCTTGTGAATCTTCTTACCACCCCTGCACCTCTGGTTGTACCCCAGTTCTGTATGTGTAAATGAATAAATAAATCTTTTTTTTTAAAGAAACTCAATTTCTTTAAAAAAAATTTATTAAAAAAAATAAGGCCAGAGGCATGGGGGGGGGGTGAGGGTGGGCGGTGGTGGTAAGAGGGTTCACTAGAGACAGGGGGGAGAGAACAGGCAGATTGACTGAAATACACTGCTGAGGGGAGCAGCAGGTGGTTCAGGAGAGGTCTGCCACACCATATGGTCACCTCCCTGGCCAGGGATTGAATATGGTGCTACAGTGGCTGCTATAGCCTCACAGTCCTGTGCTTTAAGCTGTCGTGCCATCAGGGAGGGTCCACAAGTAAATAATTCTTAAAAAACTGTACAAAAGAGGGACTCAATAGGAGACTAAATTAGGTCAAGGAACAAGTCAATGAGATGGAAAATGGAGTGGTGGTAATTTTTAAAAAGACCAGCAAGAAGAGAGAAGAAGAAAACAGAAGGCAACAAAAGACTCTCACGGGACAGCACCAAAGTGAGCAACATTCAACATTGTTGGGGCTCCAGAGGTGGAAAAGAGCAAGAAAGGGGAAGAAAAATATGTACTAACAAGTGGGAGCAAAAAAATTATACATCATACCTCTGAAAGTGGACTAATATCCAAAATCTCTAAAGAACTAATACAACGCAAACGAAAAATAAGTTCATCAGAGAAGTAGGGAGATGTGCTAGATACTTCTCCAAAAAAGGCATACAGGGCCCTCCCTGGTGGCGCAGCAGGTAAATGCAGCACTAAGAAGCTAAAGCCACTTCACTTGAGTTCAATCCTCGCCCCGGAGGTGACCCACGTGGCGCGGCAGACCTCCCCTGACCCGCCTGCTGCTCCTCTCAGCAGTGTACTTCCTTAGTCAACCTATTCTGCCCCCACTCTGCCTCTGGTGAATCCTCTCACCGCTCCTGCACCTCTGGCTTGTATCCCAGTTCTGTATGCACAAATAAATAAAACTTAAAAAAAAAAATGGCATACAAATGCTCAACATGCACATGAAAAAAATTCTTATCACTTACCATTAGGGAAATGTAAATCAAAACCACAATTAGATACCACGTCACATCTGTGAGAATGACCCATATCAAAAAGACCAGAAATAGCAAGTGTTGGCAAGTATGTAGAGAAAAAGGAATACTTATATACTGTTGGTGGGGAGGTAGATTAGTCTAGCCTCTATGGAAAAATGTATAGAGGTTTCTCAACATATTAAAAAATAGATCTGCCATATTATCCAGAAATCTTTCTCCTTAGTATCTACCTGACAAATACAAAACCACTAATTTGAAGGAAACTCTGCTCTCCCATATTCACTGCAGCAGTAGTTATAATAGTCAAGCTGTGGAAATAACCTAAGTGCCCAAGGACAAAGGAATGAATAAAGAATGTACATGCACACAATGGAATACTACACTGCTATAAAAAGATGAAATCTTGATATTTGCAACAACATGGATCTGGAGGGGGTGATGCTAAACAAAGTAAATCAAGACAAAGACATATACACAATGATTTCATTCATCTATGAAATATAAAGAAGCCAACAAAGGAACATACAAAATCAGACCAAGACAAACCCTTGAAATCTGACTGCAAAACAGAAGATTCCTGAAAGGTAGGGGTGGAGTGGGTACAAAGGAGGGGATGGGCCTGAATAGACTGTGGGACTGTGGTAGGGGTAACTGGGGTTTTGTTGGTGGGCCTGGTGTGATAACATACACTTAATACAGGTGTGAACTGATAGCCCTAAAAGATATACAGCAACATAAAAAAAACTTTACCTCAATAAACATAATTTTAAAAAGCTCCAGGTTTGTTTTTAGCTTCTGTTTAGCTTTGTTTTGAGGCAACTCCTGCTACTGGTCCTGGGAGGGCAAACACTCAAGCAGTTTCCAGGCACCTTTACTCACCCTTATTTTTCCTCTGTTGTCTGAAGGGAACTGGTAGTTGCTTCACCTCCCTCTCAGGGATACTGAGAGGCTCAAAGGTGATCATAATAAAATTAATAATTGTAGCAACAATCATCTATTCATCATCTAGGAGGTTCCAGTGGCCACGGGGACAGTATCCTAGTTGGTAGATGACAAACTAAAGCTCAGAGAGCGGAAGCCACATCAACATATACCAAGGGGCAGAGCTGGGATTTGATCCCATGTTTTTCTGACTCCAAAGTATATTCCTTTCTTCATATTTTGCTACTACTTACATGGAGGTCCGGAATGAATGTGAACATTTTGTAAGCTCTACTGTATCAAATATATGTAGGGTATTATTTTTAAATGTGTCATTAGAACTCTATGTGAAATTCTTTTTTTTTTTTTTTAAATGAGTAACTCTCATTTTTTTTTTTAAAGATTTATTTATTTATTCATACAGAACTGGGGTACAGGCCAGAGATGCAGAGGGTGAGAGGATTCACCAGAGACAGAGTGGG